TTACATGAAGTAAGTGTGCCATATGCATCTCATTTTTTGTTTTTGGTTGGCTGCTTAAAGTAAGATCACTTGGTGGTGATACTTGATTAATATTTGGGACACGGTGCAAACAGTGACTATGTGACTTTGAGGATTCGAACATGTTCGAGGTCAGAAATGGGTTCAGAAGAAACTTATTACACGCCAACTTCGCAGCGGTGATACCCTGCAAGTTGTGCCCTACATGTCACAGATTTGGTACAAGGAAACCGTTTGAGGATTCGAACATGGAAGTTTGTGCAAAGTGTAACTTGGAGCCCGCCATTGCTGCTTTGCAGCTATATTTATTATTATTATTATTATTATAAGCAAAGAGGGTTTGGGTGATCCTGGCACAGTCAGGCTGGTTAGGCTCATCCTCAGCTCAGGGCCCTTGCCACCTCTACACGCAGCCCAGACAGCGAATGGGACTTCTCTCAGGAAGAGCTGCCTAGTCAAACCCACCCAGAACTTTTCTGAGAATGTGAAGACTCCCCAACACTGCAGCCTTCTGACATTACCCAGATTGTCAGAAGGGCTGTATTCCTGGTAGCTAACCCGGGTACTCTCCCAATGTCAGTCAACAGATTGGGAGGTACCAAACCTAAGGCACCTAGAACAATGGGGAGTCGGACAACTTGGTACTTGGGATGCAAGCATGACATTTCGAAAGCGAGGTCGGCATATTTGCCATGTATTTCCTCAATCTTGTCAATCACATTACTGTCAAAGAGGACAGAAAATTCAATGATATAAATGATTTCATTGGATTTATCAAAAAGGATAAGATCAGGTTTGTTAGCCTGGATACGTCTGAGGCTGTAAATGGGCCTATTCCAAAGAATTTTGTATTTATCATTTTCCATAATGCCCTCTACAAATTCCGGGTCATACCATGGATGGACCTCTGTGTCAAAACCACAAGCACGGCGAAGGCGGTAATTAAATGATCGAGCTACACCATCATGTTGTTTTTTATTATTATTATTATTATTATTATTGTTATTATAGTACAAGCTAAAGAAAATATTCAGCTAATATTTCCTATATTGGGACAGTGCTGCTGTTGTCATACAGTAACTGTATTACTGATTTACATATTCCATAAACACAAAAATGAAAGCAAATATCAAATGTCAGAAAAAAAGTGCAAATTAACAAAAGTTTTACCATATCAAGATCACCTGTGGAATATCTATATTGAGACATTGTTTGAATACAAAAGAAATTGACGCACATACCTGAAAACGTTACTACTGGTCAAAACGTGTGTGCCAAGCCCCTTATTATATGCAGACAAAGGAAAAAGTTATTGTGAAGTGGATTTTTCCACATACAAACCTTTATATAACGTTTCACCTTTGAACTAGGCAAAGCATTTATGAAAGGCTTGAAGGAACTCAACCAACCAACTTTTGATGGTATTGCATGTCTTTTTGCAAGATCAATAACTAATTTTCAGGAGAAATTGCTTCAAATGCTTTGTATAAAATACCAGAGTCTAGATTTTATTAACAATCTTATTTGTGATTAATCTTAAAAACTTACGTTCCACAACAAAATATCTAAAGTTTTAGATTAATTACATTTTTGAACCTGTCTTAAACCTGTTGCAAATGACACAAAGCTGTGACAGCTATCGGAACACTAACAGAGAACTTGTGTGTTGTGAGATAGAAAATGTGGGGTGTTTCCAAATGACGTCACAGGTATTTCCCAGCCACTGGCAATCACAACAATATGGAACAGTAACAAATAGTCAAATGGTCTTGTCTCAAATCCGCAGAACTTTGTGTAAGTAAGAGAAAGTAAGGGACGTTATTCTAAATGACAATGATACCTTTGATTGAACAGCAGACATTCAGCATTCAAGATACATGTATGTGTTCAATAAATATTTACACTATATACTTAAACTTCAATTATTAAAACTGCTCATCCCACACAATTTTAGATGTAAAAACCGAAGAGAAACACTTATGGTTTTGCACGTCGTCATAAATGTAGATTGTTTACTTGTAAAAAATGCAAAATAAAGACAAAAGCATTGACACAAATATGATCAAGAAGACATAACAGCAGAACTCTGTGCTTTATGAGAACTGTAACATTGAGCAAGGCCTCAATGGGGAACCGGGGAACCACTCTCAACGCGCATATGAACTAAGATTAGCAGCCCCTGAGTTATCAATAAGGTCATGGTCATTACTATTGCTGCCGACACCTTCCGATTGGTATGTTGCTTCACACTTTTTTCACTATCAACAAGGATAAAAATCAAAATAATAGTTATCATTGTTAATAATTCTAAGAATACAACCTCTATTGCATCATTGTCATAATCCTGTATTTTGGCTGCAATAACACTTAAACTAAAAAAGTCCTCTTCACTGTCAATTACACATCAAAAGTAGTATTCCTTATAGCACAATGGACTACCTCTTGCATGTGCAAGGCCAGGAATATCCTCACTTCTTTCCAAACATCAATCACTAGAGATAGATGATTGGGGAGGTGGGAGGGCGTACTTCTAATGTAATAAAGATTGTATTGTTAGAGTTATTAACAATGATTGAAACTATTTATTGTTAATGATTGTTTTTAGAACCTTCTAAGACATCCTTCGCTGATTAATTTAGGTTCTGACGTCACTTCCGGTTCCATTCATTCCGGGAGTGACATCACTTTCGGACTTTATGATGCCATATCCTTTCTACATGCCATTTCTGGTCTCCTAAAAGTTGTATTGACATCATTCCTGGTCCCTTTGATGTCATTACGATGTATGTTTACTTCCGTCTCAAATCTTCCAATTGTGATGTCACTTCCGGTAATTCTGAGAGACAAGTAGACACTAACATGTGTTCTTCTAGAGCTTTTAGCTGCTCATAAAAACACCCCCACTCGCTATGTTTTTCAAAGAAGGGAGGAAAACCTATTGCTTGATGAAAGCCTGAGCACCTATAACAGGGCCTAGAGAGTATACACCCTGAAGTTCTGGCTGCATCACTGTCATCCTGCAATGACATATTCAACAGATACCATGATGCTAGTTTGGTGCCCAGAGCTCTAATCTCATGTACTGAACATGGGCCCAGAATGGCATGGTAAATCGGTCTGGATGATCTTCCTTAGGTCCAAGTGCAGGAATAATATAATACATTTGGCATAAATGTCCAATTGGATACTAAGTCCGGCCCGAGAATGTGATCTGATGGCTCTCCAGTCCGTCTCGTGAGCAAGGCTCGAGTAGTCCTGGGCATGTAATTCGGACACTATATTGCTGCCATTGTCATGGCTAACAGAAAGGCAATGTTCTTAGCATTCTGAAGCAATGTGGCATTAGCTAGGGGTCCATAAGGTTCAGTTAGTAGGACTGATAAAACTACAGATAAATTCCATTCAGGAAATATCCTAGCAATGCATCTTCCAAAAGGAAAGATCGAATGAGCGTCTTCAAAATGGGGTGGTTGTTGATAATCAATCCGTCATGTCGAGTAACAGAGTGATGAGCGGAACTAAATCCTGCGATCATACCTTGGTGGAATGTATTATCCTGTCTAAGATGGAGTAGAAAATCGGCAACCAAATAGTAACGTGGAAGTCTTCTAATCCACAGTGTCTTCACCACTTAACAAATTTGTCTCATCTGTTGTAAAGAAACGGAGGATGACCATGATTGAGCAACTTCTGAGGAGGCAGATTTAGAAAATCTGAGGAACATCCACCATCTGATTGAAAGACGTGGTTGAGATAGTGCCTTGTTGATCTTTAGGAGCAGGGGGGTGAATCAATTGTCTGGAGGGCAGAGATATCCTGTGGTCAGAAGGGAGTAGTTCCTATGTAAATGATATCTTGTGTAGGAGTTGACTCCGACTTTGTGGGATGAATAAGGAAATCCAGATGTGTCATGAGTTGGGTTAGGAAAACCTGGTCCTGAATAGGTGTGTCCTGTTTGGCTGCTAGAAAATCATCCAAGTATCCGTGGAGATGCACAAGATGGAAATGATGACTGGCTCCATTATCCTGGCAAACAACCATAAGGCAATCGACATCCCAAACGGATGTACCCAGAACTTGTAGCAGTGAACATTGACTGCAAACTAAATATGTCTGGGACAAAGGATGAATTGGCACATGTAGATACGCATCTTCGAAGTCGATGCTGAAGAGCCTTTCCCACGGACGTAGTGTCAAGTGTAGTTTTAGGACAGATTCTATCTGACATTTTGATGGTAGCCATAACCGGAGCTCTATGGTGATGAGCTGAGTCCATGCAGTGATCACATGGGAAAACAGAAGATCCTGTTACAGGGAGGGCGTTTATGCGGGTATCATAAGGTAGCCTAACGATCCCATAACTTCAGACTCATAGTCTGTGCAGTCCAGGCGGGACCAGTGGGGGAATCCAAATGGTGAACACTTTGCTGAGGGTCCATACAATGTTGCAGTCCTAGTGACAATCGTGATGGTTGTGGGGATTCTTCTGAGCCTGTTGTGCAGCATTCCGTTTCAGCTGTTCTATCTCCAAAATAGGCCACACTTCTTACACGTTGGTGAAACAGATTACACCATAGTATAAAATCACACCAACACAAACTTATACTCACATGACAAGTGCTTCTAAACAATTACTTAAGCAAAATCTAGTTGAATAAATAGTAAATACGGACTATTTAAACTGAAACAGACTAGTAATTAGTGTGACTTCACTAACCAGGTGCTAGAGGGGAGCAGCTTTATTTAGATGTTGGTCACAGCACACACAGGAAAGAAGTGAAGATTTTCCTGCTTCTGCAAATGGAAGAGGTAGTTCCGAAGTGCGACAAGTGGTGTGTAGTTGACAGTGAAGAGGACTTCTGTTGCAAATGTGTGATGCAGCCACAATGCACAGTTATGGCAATTAGGTAATAGTGGTAGAGATTCGTAAGAATGATATATTTAAAGCTTGCGACTCCATGGCAATGTGATTAACAAAATTCTGATGTGAAATCTTTAATTCGTTCTCTGTGTTTTTGAAGGGTCAATTTGTATCACAAAGTTCAACAAAATAAAATGTCAATGTTACAAAGCAGATTATTTGTATGAACAATATCTATGGCAAAGTACGCACCCATGTTGGTGGATGAAGATAAAAAAAAAATTACAACAGGTATAAAGGTATCTTTGATTTACGAAAATCTTACAACATCTAAGGGCTTAGATAGTTTCAAAAATAGGCTACAACAGAGTATGATTTCCTTATGATAACTTTATGATAATCTGAGATTGTTTCGAAACTCTAGGCCCAGATACCCAAACCCATATCACTGTCACTCTAAGCAATCTTCGGAATTGCAAAGTTCAGAAAAACACCACTTTGGATTATTTCTTTATGAGACTTCACCCAGCCAAGGTGAACATGACAGATGGCGGGCCATAGAAAGGTTTGAACCAGGTACCTTGCTGCAAGATGTTGTATGTCAATTTACCATCTACAGAAATACCAAATTATCAACAGAACAACCATGTTAAAGACCATGCTGTATTGGCTGCTGACGCATGACTACCCCTCTCCATGACATGGATTAGAACCATGCATCTTCGATATACAGTAGGTTCCAGACAGCAACTCTCACAGAAGTATCAAAAACTGCAACAGAAGGGTATCTACAAGAACAGTAGGCAATCAATCCTAATGGTAGAACGTCTTGGTTAATGTTTATGTGTTTCCCAGGCCTGCAAGATCCCCTGACCTGTCACCAGTTGATAATTTCTTGGATGAAACTGAATGTTAGCAACCTTTTTCAAATCCTCCATCAATGTTGCAGGAACTCCAGCTCAGTTTTCCTCAGACATGTAATGCCACTCCCTCTGCCTTTCATCACCATTTAGGGACCTCAATGAGGTGAATGTGTCAGGCTGGCATCAATGCATAAGGTAGACACATTCACTAGCAATCTTGCCTCTGAACCTCCTTGTATGACATGACTTGTTCACATATGGCAGGAGCGCTCTTCATTTGGAATGACAGATTTTCATTATTTTTCTCAAATACTTTTGCCTTTGAGTATATTAGAATAGGTTGTATATATACAAGGACAAGAGGAATGAAAACATTTTTGTGGTTGCTAGCTAACATACTATTGTGAATGACTTTTTATCTTGCTCATTGTAAATGTTTGAATATCTTGACTTATACTAAACAGAACATGTTGACATCTGCATAACCACAAATGCCACTGAGAGGACAAAAGCAAATTTGTCATTGCTTAACCCGCTGTTCTCCTTGTGCATGTGGATAGTGTTGACAGGTTCTTCATATTGCAAATGTCTGTTCTTGGTGAACTCCACAACTGTTCATGATGTTCGTGTATGTTGACAGTTGCAACAGTTGAGATGAGGTTTGGTGTTGCCTCGATGATCTTCATAGTAGTTGGAATTCAATACTGTGTCTGTCAGATCAGGCTTCACATGTTATTCATTGTGGTGCTGATACAACTGACAATCGTGACTGTTTGGGCTCTATTCCTAGTGAAGCCTTGTAAGTTTGTTCCTCATCAAGTAGGTTCAATGGGTCTAGTAGATAGTTTGTAACCTGAAAATGATGTTTGAAAAAGGATTATATATAGTAGGTCCTACTGCACACAAATAGTCAAACAAATTACATCAAATTATCTCCATAATTTAGGTACAAATGTAAACATCTTTTCAATATTGTTGCCATCGGAACCACCTTCAACTTTGGATAGAGACAAAACAAATTTAACAATCTTGACACAGACCTTTTGTGGAATCATCCATGCAAGGTTTCAACCTTAAAAGTTCTGTACATTAGGAGACAAATTTAAACACAAACTTATGTAGTGGAAATTTTGATGGAGGTTAAACTACGAAACTGAATGTATAGGCCAAGTGTCAGCAGTTCCTGAAAAAGAAATATTGTGCCGTTCCACTGTAGCTCACCCATATATGTAGTCAACAGTTTAAAATGTCCACAAATTACTTGAATTATTTTATAGTTAACAAGTTTTTATTGTTTGTAACAAGCAGCAGCAGCAGCAGCAGCAGCAGCAGCAGCAGTAGTAGTATCAAAACTTAGGATGAGCTTGGCTCACTAAAATGTCTAATTGTGCCCAACTGATAACAAATTTTAATTCGATCTTTAGTTCTGCACACCATTTCCTCATCATATATAAAAGACAGAAACCAGTAATGGAAATATTTTTTATGGTCATCAGTTTGCAAAGACAATTTAAAGCACCATCTATCTAAATGTTACATTTATCTGCCAAAATGAGTACATAGCTACAAACCATATCATTTGCAACGAAGTAAAAATGAAGTCTGGTCAATAAAAAGCAAATTGTTCTGTTACACGGTAACAAGTTTTATTAATATTATTCATTTTTTATGTATTGGAGAAAACACTTTCCCTCGGTTTTGGTAGACAGAGCATGCCCTGGAGAGAGGGAAAAACCAAAGGGGCGAAGCCCCCGCAGTTTTTCCCGACCCCCAGGGCATGCTCTGTCTACCAAAACCGAGGGAAAGTGTTTTTCCATGCTTATAAACCGAAAAAAGAAACTTAAAACAACATTTATCAAAAATTTTATGTTTCGAACATACTTTCCATGAACCTTAGGAAACGCGCGTAAAATATCTGTTGCTGGCGTACCGATCTTGAAAAGGACATTCTAAAAACCAGTGAGGCTTATCAACGCCTCTGTAGCCTCGTGGTATACTCACTGGGCTACAGATATGAAGGTTGCGAGTTCGATCCTCGGGAATATAAAGAAAACATTTGTCATTTGATTTTACATTTCATTACATGTTACAATCTGAACGGAAGTTATATTAATAAAATACCCGGGACATTATATAAAATCCCTTTGATATTGTATAAAATCCCTGTGATATTATATAAAATCCAAGGGACATTACAACGTCCCTGTTTATGAGATTTAACCCGACTGGAAAGTAAAACCTCACAATAGGTTTTAATGCCTATAGAAAGAAGTCTCTTACTTAATAGCGATCCCAATGAATAGGTTTATAATCATGATTAACCTCGCAACCTGCAGGCAATCATATTGTGAGTAATCACATAACTATACTTCTGTGGTATGAAACAATAGTTATCATTGTGTATCATTCTAAGAAAACTGTTTCTATTACATCATTGCCTTAAAAATCATTGTTTAAAGGCTGAATCACACTTAAAATCCCTAAGTTTTTCAATACAGATATCCTCTCCACTGTACATCTTAAGGTCAGCAAGACCAACTGTGCAAGCGCAGGGGGGGAAAACATCACTCCTTTCCTGTATGTGGTACCATGAACATGGAAGTCTTTTTCCTCTGATAATAACACACAATTTACAATGTTTTTACACTGTAAATGCGTAGATTTTTCTCCTGATGTAAAGGAGGTAGTTTTCTAAGAATTATATACAATGATAACTATAGTTTGATATTTTCCTACAAATACCTACTATACTACCTCTACTACATCCTTCTTCTTCCTATAGTTGTGGAAATGTCCCAAAAGCAAGTTTGCAGCTTCTAAGCTTCATTCGCCCAAACACCCCTCGCATCACCATAGCGACCACCCTGTCAATCAGGTCATGCACCTGGATCTCGATCACCTGACACTCACTGCCTCATCGTTCTCTTTCTCTTTGTCTCACAGTGGAGGCGTACTATATTTTTTAGGGATTTAGGAATTCTTTTCTCAAAAAAGAAGTGGGAGTTAGGTGCAATTCTTGCATCAAGAATGGGCAAAGATCAACAGAAACACTCAGCCTGTAAGATATGCCAACATATCTTTTCTGCAGTGGATCCACACAGTTTATGCTGTGGCTGTCGGGGAGTCTGTAACCCAACATTCTGATGTCCAGAATGTTCCAATCTTTCACAAGAGGCATTCACAGAATACTTGAAGAAATGCCGGAAAGGGAACATAGATCGCAGATCTAAATCCAAGGACACACAACATGGACCTTCTCATCGTAAAAAACAAAGTGTACAACTAAGGCTATCTTCAGTCCGACCCTTAAATGAGTGGTCAAGCAGCCTCCATCAGCCGCCATTACATCCCTGTCAGTCGAGGATGCTGCTGTCCCAGACAACTTTTTGGACAAGGAAACTCCGCCCTTCTTCCCAATTGACTAATACCGGGGTACTAGCATTCCACCGACTACCACAAACTCCCAGGCCAAACATATGTTGGACACATGTATGGTACTGGCTATTAACAAAGACCAGTCTACTGATTTACTTCCAACTACTTAGGTTTCTAGGTTTGTCAGCACCATACCCGTGCTCGTGGGTTTCACCGAAGTGGTAAACGTCTGAGACCTGCATCACTTCGAGCTTTCCTCCCACATCAAGCTGACACGCTGTGATATAACTGGAATACTGTTAAAAGCGGCGTTAAACCAAACTCACTCACTCACTCCAACTACTTAGGTTGCAGCCCAACGAGTCGGCTCTACTTTGACAGCAATAATTCTAATAATTCTATCCCAGTTGTCATCACCGCGATGAACGTCTAATCAACCAGAAGTACAATTGCGATGTTGCCCTCCCCACAGAACAGAAGTAGAGAGCACGCTCAACCAACTATAGATGAATGACATCGAGAGAAGGGTTGACAACCTATAGATCGACCCTCAGAGTCGCACCTTAAGGGTTGACATTCTCAGGAGAGGTCAACATCTAACCATCACTCACAGGATCAAGTCTCCCAGAATTGACAGTCTAAGGAACGCGCTTCCTCAAGAGGTCTGTCGCAGGATCGATCTTCCAGAAGTCGACAATCTAAAGTTCAATACTCCAAGGGTGGACATTCAGACAATTCACCTCAACTTCGATCTTCACGAATACGGACGTCGATATTAAAGCAATTTTCCAAGCAGAAGACAGTTTGTCAGGAGGAGAACTTTTCTGTCTCTACAAATTGTCATCACTCTACTGATCGATCCTATGAATATGACCACGTCCGTTTCGTTCTATCAAACGTCATTGTCACCTCGATCTATTGTGAACTCATGCATCTAGATGACACCATCAGAAGGACCATGCCCTTACTGTCCACTATATTATCGGCGATAGATGCGATAGGGATGTCTTTGATCCAGGCCAAGACATCAGCGGGAGCCTACATCAGAGGGACCATAAACTTAATCCAAAGCAAATTTAAGGATGTCATGGATCTTATCACACATGAATGGGGATAAATTACCGTGCTAAAGCTTAGAGGTCTACTCAACTACCGTCCTTCACCGCCACGAAGGACACCAGAGAATCGCCCAAGAGGGGCGATGTCACCTTCAAGTGACCCCTCCTATCTCTGGGACGACAGGGCACTTCCGCCTCCATTCGTATCAGTTTTTCTTACTCATGGTCACTTCGCAGCCAACTGGACCATCCTGGATGACCCCTTCAGATACTTCAAGGTGGGTATCAGCTGCCACTCATAGGAGTCCCTCTAACAACATCCACTCCAGTCCAGAGGGTGTATCCTGACCAGACAGTTGACAACACTACAGGACACGATGGGTACATTGATATCCAAACAAGTCCTAGAGTGTTTAGGCCCCAGTCCCAGAACCCCAGGGTTTCTACTTGCCAATATTTTTGCTCGCGAAAAAAGACAGCAAGAACTTTTGTATGATTTTGAACATGAAGCTGTTTATGATGTCTGTTGCGCTACTATGCACCATCTTTCAACAAGAGAACTACAGTGTCAGCCTAGATCTACAAGATGCTTACCTGCACATACCCATCCATTGAGGGCACCGCCATTACCTCCGGTTTATTTTCCAAGGTCGTCACTACCAGTGGAGGGGGCTCCCATATAGAATTCCTTCAGACCAGTGGCTTTTTACCAGCCTTACAAAGCCCATCACAAAGTTTTTACACGTCAGAGGGATCGTCTTCGTGTCATTCATCGACAATTGCATCCAGGCCCATGCTGACTGGAACGTTCTAGTCAAGCATCTCACTTTCACTCAGAGATTTCTTCATCACCTCGGTTAGCTAATCAAAACAGAAAAGTTGGAAACCACACCCTCTTCACAACTGCAGTTCATTGGAGCTCTTTTTGACACTGATCTCAGGAAGAAGTTTGTCCCTCCAGACAGGTGGAAGAAGATACCGTTAGCACTCACACAGTCTCTACATCTTTGACAATGGCAGCAGTTGCTCGGTCTATGACGTCGGCGCAAGCTCTCACCGAGTGAGGTCGACTACAACTATGGCAAATTCAGCCTTTTCTGAGACCTTATCTTCAGATTGGCGATTGTTGGGTTCCAATTCAGCTCCTCGACAGAATGGCATCTACATCTGGAAGTGTTCAAGGGGATTGACCTATCCACGACCCAGTTCCACCACAACTCTCCGGATTCATCTCTCCAATTCTGGATGAAAAGGCATGGGAGTACGGCGCTTTGGATATATCGTTGGAGAATCTCGATGCTTATGCCTTTCCACACCAACAGTGCTTCTACCACTGGTGATTCAGAAGATGGCTGCCATGACTCAGCTATGCCTGATTTTGATAGTGCCTTACTGGCCAGCACAGAGCTGGTTCACCTTG